AGCATAACAGGATTTCCTGATTAACTAAGCAACCTCTCTAAATAAATTGCTATTATTGTTTTTCATGATCTATTTTTTGTATTAAATTTTAATGGCTTGTAGAATAAGAAGGAGGAAGGAGGAAGGAGGGGGAGAAGGGAGGAGGAGGGGGAGGAGAAGGGGGGATGAGGGGGGAGAGGAAGAGGAGGAGGAGGAGGAGGAGGAGGAGGAAGAGGAGGAGGAGGAGGAGGAGGAGGAGGAAGAGGAGGAGGAGGAGGAGGAGGAGGAAAAAATGTTCTAGGGCTCAAAAAAAAGAAATCACATTCAGTGCTACATGAACGTGGGTGGGAATGAATCATCATCACTTTTGTGGTGGGAATGCTGATTGGTTTGACCTTCTTGGAAAACAATATGGACACTTATGAAAAAACTAAGAATTGGAATTGACCCAGCAATTTCACTTCTCAGCATCTAACTTGAGGGCCCAAAGAATACTATTTCAAAAAAATATTTAAAAAAAAAATATTTGTACCACCATGTTCACTGCAGCACTATTTACAGTAGCCAAGATCTGGAAACAACACAAGTTCTCAAGAATACGTGAGTGGATAAAGAAATTGTGAGATACTGTACCCCACGGTGATTCATTAATAAAAAAAAATTTTTTTTTAAAAATTATGAGATACACACACACACTCACACACACACACACACACACACAAATAAAAATCAGTAAAGCTTTCCAAAAAGTAAGGAAACAAATTGCATACATGTGTTCAAGATGAGAGCTTCAAAGAATAATGACCCCAAGGTTAGGCAGACGGATGAAATATATGTTCAAAATACTGATGTCAGCTCTGATGTCTATTATCCGAACGTCAATGCAGGAGAAGTTCGGCAAGTTGTGAGAGCACAAACTGCATTAAAATGCTACTGGTGAGATTAAAGTCATAGAAACATTTATGAATTTTTTTAATCTGAATTAACTTGAAACTGGAAGGAAAACAGCAGCCAGCCAGGGAGGAAGGCAGTGAGTTAAGGGAGAGAAGGAAGGGCAGGAGTTGCTGAGGTGCTGGATAAAAATACCATCCCAGTGGGATGCCATTAGTCTGGGAGCCCTCAAGTGTCCAAAGCATTGGTCATATCTGCAATGTGTCCGCTTCATTTTAACTTTGAGCATTTTAACAGTGAGCTAAGATTCAGCCCATCGATAAGAAAAATTCCAACATAGCCACATACAAATTTGTGCATAATATCAGTTACTTAAAATTGTTTTCTCTATATACACATACAGAATATTTCCTCAGCAGGACTGAAATACATTCCTTTTGACATGGCAGTTATATTATTTTTTTAAGGACTAATTTCAAAGTCATAGATGGCAAAGGCACTCTTCCTTTTGGATCCAGTGGTTATAAACATAACCATATAAATATAAGCCATAAACATTGACCTTGGGTTTAAGGAGGAAGGAAAGAGAAAAGGAGCAAGAGACAAAGTACACAAATAACGAACCACAGTGTGACTTTCCAAGTGGGATGACAGAGCTACCTGTAATACTAAAGCATAATGAGAGGAGATACGGGAAAGAAGGTGTCGATGTGAGAAGTAATTGAGAATGATTCCAAGAAGAAAAAGGACTTCACAGGTAAAGAGCTTAGACCAATGCACAGAAGCACTAGGCAGCGGACTCTATGCAGAAATAAAAAAGTCTAAATGCCCTAAAGGAGAACTGGTCAAGTAGATGAGGAAAGTGAAGCTGAGAGAGACACTGGTTCTGGATCACAAATTGCCTCATCATTACTTATCCTGGATCAGACTGCAATATTTAAAGGAATCATCTAAGTGCGGCTGGCAGGGACTTTCCAACCACTAGAAAAGAAACAATGCAGCAGAATTCGAATCTAGCTACCACTGTCCCTCCCGAGGTATGTTCAGTCCCTCATTCCCAACGACCTTCACATCAGATAGTGTCAATCTTAGAGACTCTCTAGGTCAGCCCTGCTGCATACACACCATGCTTCCCTCTGGCCACTCAACAACAAGGCTCTGAAATCAGATCATTGGGATATGTCATAATGTCAACAGATCATAAGAGAAGAATGAGTATATATCCAGAATGCCTCAAAAATAAAGTGACCACACACACACGTTTCCTTCATGTCTATTCCAACTCAACATTTTCATAATCAGCCCAATAGACAAGAAAATACATATAACTGGACTAGCTCCTTAAGGATCACTTTGGCTTTCTAGTTTAAGGAGAATATAGTCAAAACATTTTTGTTAAAAAGAAAGCAAGAGTGAATAAAGTTAGTAATTTTTTAACATCGCTGTCACTGTCACTGTCCTCCCATTGTTCATCGATTTGCTCGAGCGGGCCCAGTAACGTCTCCATTGGAGACTTTGTTGTTACTGTGTCTGGCATCTCGAATACGTCACGGGGAGCTTGCCAGGCTCTGCCGTGCGGGCGAGATACTCTCGGTAGCTTGCCGGGCTCTCCGAGAGGGGCGGAGGAATCGAACTGGGGTCGGCCATGTTGGCTGCATGCAAAGCAGACGCCCTACCCGCTGTGCTATCGTTCCAGCCCTCTGATCTCATCTTTTTAACATCATAAATGATAAAGGTACGGATCATATTTTACAGTAATCACAAAAATATGAATCAGATACTCATTTCATGCACAAATGCTATATTCTAGCCATACATTCCCCCACACCAGGCCCCCCTATGCTCCACCACCATAGATTTTGATGTGTTGCTGCTATACATGGAAAATCTTCTAGCAAAGAACTGCCTGAGAGTCCGGAAATCCTCACTGATCCCGTAATTACTAGATCTGCCACCATCAGAATGATCTGACAGTTTCAATACCAAGAATCAAAGAACTACCACTCTGTAGAGAGGAGCACAATTCTTATCTCCCAGCTGCACATAAGGTCCCAGAGGTGCTGGATCGATATCTTTCCCCTTTGCTGCTTTTTGGTAAGGAATCAAATTCAATCTTCAGCAGGGAAAAAAAAAAACATGCTCATTCACAACAAAGGACACTGATTGTTGTGTAGAGATGTAATTTATCAGATGTTCTGATCTGGTTATGCTCTCATCTGGCAAACATACCTACTTCTATCTGAGCAGTGCAAAAGGGGCTCCAGAGGGCAGAAAGTTCCCAGCAAGAAGGGCAGTTTGGAGTATTATGTGCCCAATGAGCACTATGCCCACTGTTTCCTAATGCCTGGTGCGATATTCATTCACTTTCAACTGCACAACACAGACGCAAAAGGCTCAGGTCATGTTCAAATGCCCAATGACATACATAATTTGCCCCAGGCTATAGAATAATCTCCGCTGTCAGTTTAGAAGTTTGCAAAACTTTACCCATCACTAAAATTCTCTGATTTTTGTTTTACTTCTCAAAAGTTCCCAGAAAGACTATAGGAGCCTTTTAACAGATTAAAAACAGCAGGGGGTAATGTTTCAACAAGATATTTAACCTCAAGCCCTTGAGACTACTTCGTTATACCAACCCATTTAGAAATTTTTCAAACCGTACTGACTGAAATCAGAGTGCCTCTCCAAGGAGAAACTGTGGGCCAATTTATCATTGCCCACATCAAAAGATTTTCAAGAAAGTAAGGACACAGAAGAAAGCAGCTTTTTGCATATGTTACAGCCCATTCCTCTCCAAGAACCTATGCTGAACACAGGCAATGCCAGGGAAGAGTAATTAAAATTCATAAGTAAGTATGTCAAGAATTAATTACTTTATACAGATTAGTTCTTTATCTTGACACACTAAAGGGAATGTGGGGGGTATAAAGAAGCAGGGGAAAGATGAAATGCACATGATGATATACGAAAAGAAACACAGAAATGTTTCTTCACTTGCTTTACTCCAAGAGGTAGAGTCCCTCCACTCTTCTTGGTGTTACAAAAACTACAATCACCACTATATGCTGACAACACTTCTTATCTTTTGTTCTAAGTGAACATGGGATAGAAAAAAAAGAAAGTGGATAACAGGGACAAAAGATTTGCTAAAGATGTGTCCTTCAATAGATTTAAACTAAGGTATCGGGGAGAATATTTTACAGGAGTTAATGCACTTGTCTTGCACCACTTCTGGTACCACCAGGAATGATTCCTAAGCCAGGAGTAAGTACCAGGAATAAATCATAACAACTACTGGATGTAATTTTTTTTCCAAATTTTTAACTAAATGAGAAGCTTGAATCCAAGATTAATGATGCACCATTGAGCAATCTTGCAAATACAGGACCTGACAATATCTTTATCTAACAGTAAGAAAAACTAGCTATAAAAAAAATATGTTCAGAAAAAACATTATCAAATTAATCCTGTTAGAGATTTTTTCTAAATAAGGTCCTCATTATCCAAAGTGATATTTGCAAGGAAAAAACAAACTGATCTATGAATTGATTTTTGGGGGTTTTTGTTTTGGGGAAACACTCAACACTCAGGGCTTACTCTGAGGTTCAGCACTTGGGAAGTGACATGATTTTAAATTGAAGGTCAAAAAAAGATTTTTTTTTTAAAAAAAGAGAAGTGAAAAAGAAAAGATAGGACAAAGACAAATGGCACATGATGACTGGTCATAGATAAAACTGTTTCACCTCATAAAAACAATCAGTTAAGAAAAAAAATTACGTTTTGCCACATACTACACACAATTAATTCTATGATTTGACATTTTTAAGGAAGTTATTCTCAATTTCTTCTAGAGCATCTTAAAGCAAGGTCATAAATGGCCAGTTTTATGCTAGCATATAAAATCTAAATTTTCAACTAATGAAATAGTTAGACTGTATAAAACGAGTTATTTTTTCCTAAAATCCAAATTCCTTTTGCCTGCAATTTGCTTATCACTTCTGATCTCTTACTGGTATGTACAGGTCATGTGGTCAATAACTTCTGCATGGAACAATACCGACAATATCATTAACAATAAATACCGAGCACACTACAGTAAACAGAATAGTCACTGAAAGTCCAAAGCTCACCCTCATCACTTGCTGCCTGCTGCTTCACCAGAGTCAGCGGGGACCTTGCGGGGGGTTTACTGAGTGGATGGCGCCAACTTTTAGCAGTCTTGGTCTCTCCCTCTACTGTCTGATTCTGGAGGGAGAAAAAATCAAAACAGAAAAAGAAAAACATAGTTAAATTTAATTTTAGACAAAAACTCAGAGTTCACAATGATTTAAGACTATTTAAATTAGGAAACACCCATCACACTTATTTACCTACTTGGGGAGGAGGTATTTTGTTTCACAGCTGATTTTCACTTTTGTCTACCTCCTAGCAATGCTCAGAGAGTCCCCAAGGGCCATTTCCGATAAACCAGGTGCAGTACTGCCCAAGCCCAACACTGTCAGGGGCCAGCACGGCTACTGCCAGCAGTACTCAAGGAATCATGTGATGCCAGGAATCACACCTCCACAAGACAAGAATGTGCTCCAACAATCTGGGCTCTCTCTCCATTGAAAATGAGGTTTGTTTAAAAGATACCTTAAAAGTCAAAACAGATTGTAATCTATTCACCTGGTAATCTCCTGAAGGGAAATTGACTAGCTTTCCACATCATAGTGAAAACTCTCAGGCCAGAGAGATAATGCCAAGGACTGGAGGACATGGTTGGCATTTACTAGGCCCCATGTTCAATTCTGGCACATGTTCCCCATGCCACAGCCCAGTGCAGCCCTGATGGCCTCCAAGCATGGCTGGTTTGGCTCAATGGGACCGAGCAGCACTGAACCATCATGCCCACCAGACAAGGCTACGAATCATTGGGACTGAACCATGGAGCCAAGGCTCTGCTTGTGGGATCCCCTACCCTCCAAAAAGTGTGTGTGTGTGTGTGTGTGTGTGTGTGTGTGTGTGTGTGTGTACGTGTGTTGTATATCCAGAGTACAGGATATGTTTACTAAAGTTTTGAATAAATCTAGCACTAAGTCTTCAAAAGATGTTCAGGGGCTGGAGTGATAATACAGCAAGTAAGGTCCTTGCCTTGCACATGGCCAACCCGGGTTTGATCCCCAAGAGTCCCATATGATCCCCTGAGTGCCACCAGGAGAGATTCCAGAGTGCAGAGCAAGAAGTAACTCCCAAGCATCGTCAGATATGGCCCCCAAACAAAAAACAGAAATATAAGATGTTAAAAACTAGTTTAAATTTAGAGCTATATATTCATTAAAAAACATAGACCCTGGATATTGGCCCCCTCTATGCTGGTCACATGTGACTATCCAGTAGATGGTTTTATTTTCTATCCTTACACACAGCAACATCTAGTAGAGCCAATATAAGTCCTCCTACTCAGAAATGAACCTTCACTTTACTAAGAATCAAACACAAAAAAATCTGTGTTCTCTCTCTCTCTCTCTCTCTCTCTCTCTCTCTCTCTCTCTCTCACACACACACACACAGAGCATTACTGACATTTTGAAATATCTTATATTTTTTATATTGCTGCTGTTGTTCTGGGATCTCCAAACGATATTTTCCTCTAGAGGGAAAAGTCATGAGCACCTCTGATATCTTACAGTCAGAACCTACTTAGACAAAGCAACAAAACGACTTGAACACTCAATCAAGAAAAGAAGAGGGTTGTGGATAGAGAGGGTGTTTTCCGAGAGACAGCTTGAAAGTGGAGTATTTTTATCAGCAAATGACAATGAAGGGGGTCTCAGAAAAGTCCCTGTAAACTGAAGTAGCAGTGGGTATCTGAAATGAGAGAAACAAGGGTATCTAACACCAAAGCAGGATTATAAAGACACATGTCAGGGTGTTCCAATCAAAGGTGGGAGTCGGGAAAAGGTGACAAAACCACAGGATGAGATTTATATGTGGCTATAAATTAATGCAGAAAGCCATAACTCAGTCCTCAATAAGATTTACTAAGCCCGGACCATGTAGCACACTGAATAAGCCTTTACTTACTTTATATACTACAGTGTTTATTTTTTTTCCTTTTTCTTTTTGGGTCATACCCAGCGATGCACAGGGGTTACTCCTGGCTTTGCACTCAGGAATAACCCCTGGCGGTGCTCGGGGGGAGCAAATAGAATGCTGGGAATCGAACCCGGATTGGCCACATGCAAGGCAAACACCCTACTTGCTGTACTATTGCTCCAATCCCAACATACTAACTGTTTTAAGAGAGGAGTCACAACACGAGCTGTTATACCAGGACTCTGCTTCCTGGGGCAGTCTATTATGGCTGGAGGAGGTGCTCAGGAAACAGACAGGTCAAAATGAAATATTACCAGTCACTGTGCAATAAAGGAAAAAGCAAATTAGGAAGAAGAAGTGGAAATAGATGGATAGGGGCCTATTTTATATAGGTTTGTTAAAGAAGGCCTCTGTGGCAGAGATAGTTGAGTGGAGTGAACTACAGTGAGGAGCAGCACTTAGCTCCCTGGAGGAGGAATAAATATCTGAGGCAGCAGAAGCACACATAAGAAAAAAGTTCTTAGGATTTCGCAGAGAATACATGGAGCCCGTTTATAAACAAGACATTACTACTAAAAGAATAATTTAGTTTAAGGGAAAAAAATGAATAATTTAGTTGTCGACTTTTTATTAACTGGTTAAAACTCACAACTACAAGCATGCACAGATCATTCATTACACTTAATACTCTGTTTCTGCTTCTTTTGCAGAGCTGGGGAGTGAATCCAGGGCCTCACACCTGAAAGGCAAATGCTCGAGCATTGACCTGAATCCTCAACACCTTATACTTAAAACTAAGAAACACTGACCAGAAAGATATAAAAACAGTACCAAAGAGATAGTACCTCAGGTAGGGAGCTTGCCTTCTATGTGGGCTAACGCTGGTTCAATTCCCAGCACCACAGTACCTGGTCCCCAGAGCCTGCCGGGAGTGATGCCTGACAGCAGAGCCATATTGGCCACCATCAGGTATAATCCAAAAACAAAACCAAAAAAATCTACACAAAAACAAAATTCACTGTGTACTTAAAGGACACCATGATGTGGGGAAAGGATAGCAGACTGCAAAAAATATTCAGTCTCTGAGAAGAAGCAGAACAAATCAAGCATTTGCTTTCCTATGCTGTCAGTCTTAGTTTAGTAAAATTATAACGATGAAGGTTAAAGGCACTGCGGGCAGAACTGCCTCCACTGAATGCAAAGAAATGGAAAAGTTACTGTCAGTTCCAATCTAGACTAAAGAACGAAGCTAAATGTAATTTTAAAATGTAGTTGACTCACTCACCATTCCACAAAAAAAGCCCAATTATCTGCTTGGCTCCATTTCATCCCCATATGAAATTAAGTTGCAAATTTGGGTTAGTATTTAAACACTATTTTCAAATTTCCCTTAGGCAACTTTTCAGATAAATTAGCTGTGTGTTTTTATTTCTCATATGATTTTGATAAATATTTTGGAGTTCACTAAAATACACAATCACGAAATGATCGGTTATTAGATCAAATTAGCAAATCATCTATACTTGACAATATTTTAAAACTACTTATAAGCATAACATTTCACAATGATCTCCTTATTTAATCACTGTTGCTACTCAGAAACACAAAAGGTCCTTTTATAAGTTAAAATGAGTGCGAACAAATAAAGGGTGTTGGGAGGATCCTCCCAGGATGGGAGAAGCATGCTGAAAGTTGACTATAGACCAAACATGATTGCCACGCAATGCCTCTCTTGCAAACCACAGGACCCAAAAGGAGAGAGAGAGAACAAAAGGGAATGCCCTGCCACAGAGGCAGGGGGGAATGGGGGATGGGGGGTGGGAGGGATACTGGGATCCGTGGTGGTGGGAAATGGGCACTGGTGGAGGGATGGGTATTTGATCGTTGTATAATTGAAACCCAAGCACAAAGATTTGTAAGTCTACAACTGTCCCTCATGGTGTCTCACTAATAAAAATTAAAATTAGAAAATTAATAAAAAAAATAAAATGAGTGGGAACAATCGAGAAGTGAACCAGTCCAGCGGCAAGCTTAATTTACCTGTTCAGATTCTTGAACTCATCCACTTGAATTCCTGAATGAGTTGTACAGGCCAGAATAGGAACCTGATTTCTTACAATGACTACAAACAATCATAGCTTACTTGAGCACTTTCACTCATTTTTTTGTTCATTGGCTTATTTTTGTTTTGTGGCCACACCTGGCTGTGCTCAGGTTTTACTTCTGTTCTGTGCTCAGGGGTTACTCCTGGTGGTGCTCAGGGGGTCGCATGTGGAACAGGGGATGGAGCAAGGCTGGCTGCATGGAGGGCAAGTTCCTTAACCCCGGTACTATTTCTCCAGCCCCACAATCTTAAGACAACAGTGGCGGTACATGCAGAAAGCATGTAATATTAACATTGTACAAGACCACACAAGAAGAGGAGAGAAGGGCAGGGGGAATAATTACAGAAGGGGATGACATTTGCCTTGCACGTGGCTGGTTTCAATCCCAGGCGCTATATATGGTTCCTGATCACTGGCAGAGGTCACTTTGGAGCACAGAGGCAGCAAGAGCCTCTGAGCACCCCAGGAAGGGGCCCATAAACCAAAAACAAAACAGAACAAGAACCAAAAAGGCTGAGAAGAACTAGAACGGAAAGCTGAGTACTATAGTGTGGTATTCAGTTTTCTCTAAGCAAAGGCAGAGGGGGAAACCAGAAAAGCCTGCTTGGACTATCATCTTAGTTTATGAGGAAGAAGTCACAGGGGGTCTACTCAGATGAGCTCTAATTAAAAGAGAAGCAGTGGGACCCAGAGTTATTGACTGTTGGCAGGAGCAGAGCAGGGCCACATGGGTGAATCATTTCTAGCCTGGTTAACACTGCAGATAATAAAACCACTCTGTACCTTGACTACTAACTACAATATTATTGCAACATTCTACAGTAGTTTTCTAAGATGGTTCTGTAGGGAAAGTTCATAGACAGGATTTTTCTGTAATAGTTCTTAGAACTGATTATGAATTTACACTTAACTCAAAATAAAGGTTTGGACCTCATGGTGTCTCACTAATAAAAATTAAAAAAATAAAAAAATAAAAGTTTGGGGGCTTTTCCTTAATTTGGGCGTCACATGTGGCGATACTCAATGATCACTCCTCATGTCGCACTCAGGAATTACTCCTGGTGGTGCTTGGGGAACCATATGGGATGCCATGGATTTAATTTTTTTAAATAAAAAAAATTAAGCTCTGTTGGCCAAAAATCTCTGAATCATCATTATGCAAGCCAGAACTCAATAAAAAAGGCTTATCTTACATCATCAACGGGAATAGGTTTAATACCTACCAACATCAAATGTTACCTGTGTCCTAAAGCATGGTTCTGGTGAATATCAAGCTGTTTTCAGAAACCACTATTACCAGACAATGAAGACATTAAAAACATATATTGCCACCTACACTGGGAACTTTAAAGCCATTTCTCTCTTCGCTGGGTACATCTGGGTCTTCCCCAGCTTCAAGGCCATTCCTGTGGCTCTCCGCATCCTTCCCTTCTTCCTCTGTCAACACACTATCACTCGGCACAACTGAGAAGCTTGACTTGTGTGACTGTGGCCATGAAAACTTGGGTTGGTCTGATCCTTCAGACACCAAGTGGCCACCAGATACAGAATCAACAACCCCAATGGGATTGGAAGGCGGAGTGATGCCACAGATCCCCTTGTCCTCAGTTTTTATTTCATCCTTTATAGATGAATTCGAGCAGCTGTTTCCTGAAAAGTAAAACAAAAGACTATTAACGAATCTTGCACTGTAGTATTAAAGAAATGTGTTGTTAGACTAGTCTCAACTGACTCCGATCTGCTAACTTACACTTTAAATTTCCACAGATAAGCAGAAAAGGTCACTAAATAGACTGCAAAGGTTTTTTTCAGTAGGAAAGGTCTGGCAATAGGCCGACTGACAAAATAAGTGATTCTTAAATTCTGCTACAAATCAATGTCAAAAGCACAGCAATTATGATGATTATCTAAAACAAAAACAATCTTAAATATCTACAGAAATAAGAATTATAACCCAACATATGAAACTAAGAGCTACTACTATGAAACAACCCAGTTAAGACGCTGTGCACAGAAAACAAAGGTAACATGGTGCAGATCCAATAAAAATTATTTCCTACCCTAATCTTGTATCACACATTGACAACATGAAGGAGGAAAACAATCCCAAGTACTTCTCTTCCACTGTCACCTTTCCCCATTCCTACATTCACACACACATGCACACGCATGCACACACTCACGCTCAAGTGCACCACTCACTGACTGCATACAGCTCCAATGCTGAACTCTACAGTTTGCAAAAGAAGGTGGTCAAAATTTGAGAAAATAAATAGCCACAGAACTAATAAAACCTGGATGCATTTGGCCTAAATCTCCCAGTAATTCACAAAACTAATTCCTGTGTACTAAGATTGCTGGCGATTCCCTATAAAAATATCTGCAAGTGTTACAAAACTTTCTGTTTATCATTCCCTTACCTATCTGTCCCCTCTTTCTCTCTTCAATATCCATTGATCACAAGTCAATTTCAGTAGCCCCCTCTAAGTAATTTGTTGGTCCAGCCTTCTAGTTCAGGTCTTTGCTTCATATACCAGCAAACCTGCGTGCCATCTCTACCACAGAACTTAATTGACTGTATTTTCATTACATTTTTATCCAGTGACCTTCCCAATAAGGTGTAATCTCAATGAAAAGAAAGGCTCTGCCTTCAATTTTATAAACAGATTATTTCAAGAGCCAAATGTAAGAATGAAGAAATAGTTAGGGATGAGATTATGTGGGACTATGATAAGAATTTTTTTCAATTTCTCAGTCAAGTAAGAGTAAAAGGTGAAGACAAGACCTAAATTCTTTTTTCTGGAATCACTATGACTGCAATACAGAGAACAGACAAGCAGAGGTAACTTGAGTGGCAGCCAAGCAAAACAAGGAGACTACTGCAGTCATCCAGACAAGAGAAAATGATGAGCAAGGAGAAAGCAGGAGGCAGCAATTCCAGGGAGTCCCGAAAGTAGAGACCCGATAAGTGATAAGAGACAAAGAACAAAATTATCAACAAGTCCAATTAGTAAAAGGCCAAAAGAGCCAAGAAATATAAAGGGGCAAAGCATAGAAGCCATTTTAAAGAAATATGCTTGAAAGGGGTTAAAGTCAAAGCTGTTCAGACTTACAGATGATGGCCTCAGTATAGAGAAAACAGCAAGGGGCTCTGCACATGCTTTCACAAGAAGGGCTGAATCATGTTGTTCTTTTTAAAAACCTTAATCTTTATTTTCTCCTTAATATTAAGTTCAAAGCAAAGGATCTGCAAAGAATTATCTATAATTGCTTTTCATTCTTATATGTGAATTCTAGAGAATCTTTCCCAAAATGTATTGTACAGCATAAATTGAGTTGCAACAAAAAATTTTTTAAGAATCTTTTGTAGTAAACTAAACAGGCGCTGCAGATTGTCAATTCCATTACACACAGTAGTAGTCACTCCTGAGTTTTAAAACATCTGCTTGACCTCCAAGTTGAGTTATCCTATGACCTCTGATTATTCGTTAAGCCATGTGTGAAGTAAGATGGCTGTCCCAGGAAACATAGCTATAAGGCATTAGATCATCAACCAGCTACTGATTATATGCAAAACATAATCAGCCAATTTCTCACCAGAGAGTCTGATATTATTTGATAAGTTTGGATCCGGATGCATCTTGCTAGCAGAGGTCTCTTCCTCTGAAAGTGGTTCTGTGCTTCCTAGTTCAGATGCCGCCTCTGGCTTTTCATTAACCTTGAGGTGTTCTGAGACTGAATCAGGGCTGGGGTCTTCAGCCCCGTTGACTGCAGCTGAAACCTCCTCATCCTCCTCATTCTTAGGTCTCTTAGACTGAGAAGTAGTACACTGGAAGCTAGGAACAAGAACAGTTCCAGTCAGAAAAGAATGTTAGCAGCGGGCAGGATAAAACACACACCACAACAGAATAATTCTGAAATGTTTTGTTTTGATAACAATTTGCTAAAGATTTTAATTACAACATTTGTAAATAGTTGGTTAATAAACAGTCTTTTTATTAGGCAAAGGCACTGCTAAAATGTTATAGCAATATTGAAAAGTCTGAAAATAAAGTAATATATAGCATGATTGAATAAGGAAAATTCAAAAAATTAAATCAAATATTATTTAGGTAAAGAAAATGAAAAAGTCCTATAAAACTGTTACTAAAATTTAAATTTAGTTTGTTTCACTGAGTTTTCTAAAGTTCTGAAGGATATAAGACAACCTCTATGAATTAAAGTTAAATCATCATTAGCTAAAAGAACTGAGTGGAGATTAACTAATTGCTTATATTTAATTTCTTTTTCAAATTATCTTCATAAAGGATACATTTTTTTCTTTCTTTTGTACTTTCAGCAATTCTCTTGAGAGTTTGGTCACACATTCTTCTGTATATAACAGGATTTCTTAATATTTCAATTTAGGAAGAATTCCAAATCAAACCGAAGCAACAGGATTTTCAGTGTATGCACACATAAAGACTCACAAAAATACCACAATAGGATACAGAAATCTAAGATAAAGTGGGCAGCCAGTAAATTAGCTTTGGCTACTGGTGGTAGTAACTGTTCTAGAATCATCATTACTACTCTCATTCTGATAGAGTCTGTGCCCTGGGGGTATAGTGCCACCAGCAGGTCAACCTATACCTGTGGGGCAAGTGCATCAGCAGCCTGATGGTGCCTTCAGACTTCCAGATATCCCAAAATCGTGCTGTGCCTTTGGCTGGACCCCAAAAACTTGGGATCAAGTTCACCTAGAAATTAAACGGCCAAAAGAAAGGTGTGTGGGAGACACACCCACAAACTACTTCCAGCTCAGCTGTACAACATATTGGCCTTATTTCTGAGACCCATAAATCTCTAAAGAGATTAAAAAAATAAAATAAAATAAAATAAAATAAAATAAAAAACCATGCACTTAGGGCCAGTGGTGCTACATGCTGCAGGCGAGTGGGCATGCCCTCCAGGGCATATGCCAATAGTTTATTGCTCTGGAAAAGATGGAAACAAGGGCCATGATCCAGAGACATGCAAAAGAATTTCTGAACTGAGCAGCTCGCTGCAGAGGTGCCTCCAACTTCACCAGGCCAACTTCACCAGGATGCGTCAACAGGGGTAGGTGTTGTCCCTCCACCTGCCCCTAAAAAGACCTTGGTGGCCGCCAACTTCCAGAACCCAATGAGAAGTGCAGGTACACGGGTTCAGTGATTTAGTCTTCAAGGGATAGGGGATGGGCCAGTCCCTCTCATCCCCTGTCCCCATGGGGGGGTGGGGGGGACACATGCCCACAAACTGCCTCTGGCTGCTACTTAAGCTCCTTAATGATCATGATCCAGAGAAACACAAAGGAATCTCTGAACCAAGCAGCTCAATGCAGAGATTTACCCAGACCCTAATTATCTGAAATTTTGGAGTTCCAGGAGCACATCACTGCTCTTATGGCTGTGCGACAGCTTATGTTATTCATAACAAGCAATACAAAAGAGAGTATGCAGGCGGGGGGGGGGGGGGGATTGTCTGCCATAGAGGCAGGGGGAAAGGTGAGATGGGGGGATACTGGGGACACTGGTGGTGAAAGCTGTGCACTGATGGAGGGTTTGGTGATCAAACATTGTATGACTGCAACTCAAACAGGAGAGCTTTGTAACTATCTCACGGTGATTAAAAATAATAATAATAAAATTAACATTCTGAATTAAAAAAAAGTAATGTGGATTTCATGCCCAATTCAATCTGCTTAATCAATGGCTGAATAAATAGCAGTATTCCTACATTTAAAAAAAAGTCTATACTCTGCCATGCAAAAAAGTACATCATTGTGAAAAGAGTTGTGTATGTAACATAAAATGGCTGACACTCTTTGAGATTTCAAAGTACCTCCGTCCAGCTAATGTCCCTAGATTAAAAGACCTGTAACATCACACTTTGTGAGTAAATGAAGTCTGTTTATTTTAACCTACTGAACATCATCTCAAATAAATTATATGCCAAAAATCTATATTTTCTGGCAAGTCAAAAAAGTGCTAAAGTTACTAATAGACCAATAAGATCACAAATCCGAATAGAGCATTGTGTTTTTATTAAAGAACAATTCTCAAGAATTTCTCTGGTATTTCATCTGAATTCAAAATTGGCATTTACTCCTTTCTGTATTAGATGTTTTGGTTAGGTGAATTAAAATTTACCAAATCAAAGTTTCTAATTAAATGTTTCCCCAGTATTTTCAGAGTAGAACATAAGCATTTAAGATAGTAGCACCACACACACACACACACACGCACACACACACACCACATCACAAATTAATACCATTACACATGTTAAAAACTGTATTTCACTTTACCTCCTAATTTTATCGTATTTTATCTTATTGTATGATGCTGGAGCTACATCCTAGACCCTCTACATCCTAATTTTAAATGTCTTTAATATCTTACTAATTTGATGCAGCAAACAACAGTTTGAAAATCACAGCTGGAAACCATTGGGTGAAATAAGCGCTTGAGTTTTAATTCCAGTTCAAATGGATTACATATCTTAGTATATGTCTGTAAAATGGAGATGTTTGATTTCATGTCTCTCCACTAACAACCATTCTAAAAAAGCAGAAAATAAATGTGAGGGGAGGGAAAAGAAACAGAAAATACACATCGGAAGTATGGGTAAGCATGTAAGATGTACAGAAGATCTATCAAATGAAACTCTGAGAGCCAGAAGAGTCTGAAGGGACAGAGTTCCAAAACCCATTGAAATGAACACCTCCCCAGGAATACTCTATCCAGCTAGATTATCATTCATATTTGAGGAAACAATACCGCCTACGTAATTTACAGCCTTGAAACCCGTTTTGCAAGAATCATTAGACGAGCTTCTTGAAAGGACAAGACAAACTTACCAACATGTGGCATTCACTATGACACACTCACTCACAGTGCATTTGGCTGCTTTCTATTAGATTAAGAAAGGTTTGTATACTCCCTAGCTTGCTAAGAGATTTCATACATTTTTAGTAAGGTATTAACATCTTATTTATATCGGTTAAAATCACTTGACAATAAATCAGCACAAACTGACTTTTATTGAATATTTTCTGATAATTCCACTTGACGTTCTTTTAGGTTTTGTTGTAGCAAGTTATATGAAATAAATATCTTATATGTTTGCCAAGGAATCGGAGTTGGGGGCAGAAGAGAACCTGGGGACATTGGTGGAGGGGAGGAACACTGGAGGTGGGATTAGTGCTGAAATATTGTATGCCTGAAAGTACCCTTTTATAAATAACTTTGTAAATCACAGAGTCTTAATAAAAATTTTAAAAGGGGGGAAGGCACTACAGGTCTAGTACAGGAGATTTCTTAAAAATAGGAAGGCATTGAAAATTACAGTATAGCACATAAATTACATTAGAAATAAAATGCTGATAGTCAAATTGTTAAAAAGTGTGGTCTCAATTTCAAGAGAAATATATTATGCAATATAGAATATATGTGTAAATATACAAATTTATCAAGGATTACATGTTGTTATCTCTGGATTTGTGAGGGTATGCATGATTTGTAATTCCTTCAATATTTTCCCCTTATTTTACAACTTTTCCCAATTACAAATATTTACTTTCACAATGAGAGAAAATGACTAAACAACACTGGAGAGTACAAAATGCAATTTAAACCTGGGAAATATATGAACCTAAAAAGGGTGCTCTAGGACATGTACACCCCATTAAGTGGGTCTTCAAACAGCAATATGCCCACACAACCTAAGTACTTTGAAAATTGCCTGACCACTAAAAGGGAATGTGGACTACAGATCACAGGGATAGCCAAGTTGTAGAAACACCACTGGTCCACTTTACAACTAAAAGAATAAAACTGATATATAGGTAAGGTAAAGGTAAGGTAAAGGCCCTCCCGTTGATCGTCGATTTGCTCGAGCGGGCCCAGTAACGTCTCCATTGGAGACTTTGTTGTTACTGTGTCTGGCATATCGAATACTCTCGGTAGCTTGCCGGGCTCTCCGAGAGGGGCGGAGGAATCGAACTCGGGTCGGCCATGTCGGCTGCGTGCAAGGCGAACGCCCTACCCGCTGTGCTATTGCTCCAGCCCCTAATAGGTATTTTTAATTAATTTTTAAATAACCTGAACATCAGATTATTTAATTAATTTTTAAATAATCTGAACATCTTTTTATGATATCTCATTATCTCATTCCTACTCTGGACAAACTTGCAGGCTATCGAATATAGCCTGCCCACAGGGCAGAGTCTGGCAAACTCCCCGTGGCGCACCAAATATGCCAAATACCAGTAACAATGATGGGTCTCATTCTCCTAAAAAGCCTTGAATATAATCTCAGGGCTAGGATGAAAGAGACGTTACTGGGGCCTGCTCGAGGCAATCGACGATTTTAAATAACCATTTTTGGTCCTAGTAACAGACTGTGGACATCTCAGTTTCACCATCAAATACCTGTATAAAAACTGATATATACATATATCAAAAATGTAGGCATTTTGAAAAAAAAAAAAAAACCAGCATCTCAGATTTGAAAATAAAGACAAAACACTACTGAAGCCAAGAAAAAAAATAGGTAGTAAAATGAAAAAAGTTAGAATCAGTTTTTTGACGTTAACAGAAATACAGAGATGAACAAAGGGCACCAATGAAATTTTCAAATACGTTAATATAAGTGGTATAAAACAGGTTTTCAACATGTTTACACCTATATTCCAGCACCAGTCCACAGATCAGCAATTAAAAGACTCCAGCCAAGTATGAAGTGTTTCTACTTGCCAGATGCAACCAATTTCAGGAATACTCCCCAACACATGTAACTTCCTATCTTCATTTTTTTTCCTTACGCTTCTCAAGAATTGGAATTACACCTAACCATTTCATCAATATGATAAATTCATGATAAAAAAAGCAAATAAATGAACTTTGAAAGCATCGAACATCACAACTGTTTTAATTCAGTAAGAACAAGGGGACTAGGATCATTACCTCTTGGGCGCTTTTCTTACTTTCCTCCTCCTCTGCAGCCAGGCTTTGACTTCAGGGGTGGATTCCGGAGTGGGCTTTGTGTGGTCAATGGTATAGAGATCCTTTCCTTGCTTCCAAAGCTGGTATCTGTCTGGCTGAAATTTTCTCACAAAAATATCCATTGAAATTTTCACCATGTCTTTCCTGCAGGTGCACTGAAACACAAGAGAACAGAGTTGGAATGCTTGAAGCACTTCACAGCTACACAGAATCACACTGAGTCATGCTCTGAATGTATCTTACAGGAATACTTAGTCACTGTGTAATTGAGGATAATTTTCAACATTTTCAAACATTCAACAAGCGATAAACTCAATTTTTTTCTGGAGGTGGCAGTCTGTACGTTCACATTTACAAAAGGTAAAATGTTGAACTGCATTGCAGAGTTCGTAGGGAACAACTGTGTACATGGAACAAATCAAAACAAAGAACACACACCTGAAAGCAACCTAACAGAGTATTGCTGTGCCACCACAGGAGTCAATTAAGGATGGGCCAGGGCAAGATTACAGCAGGTCCAGCACTTGCCATGCATAGTGTCAACACAAGGCCAATCTCTGTCACCCCATATGCTCCCCCAGAATGGCCAGCTGTGATGCCTGAGCATGGAGTCAGGAGTAAGCCCTGAGCACCACTGGAGGAGGCCCAGAAAGCAAAAATTAAATTCAAAAAAAGGATCTATTAATGAACTGAACGCTGAACGGTCTGTAAAACAAAAACCAGGCTGGCCAACAAATGAAAGTACGCGATGAATGCAATATCCGAATAATTTGAACAATGGGTTGAGCTGAAGTTTCTTCAAGACAGATTTTAATTACATTTATGTTTTAATATTTTACTCTGGCAAGGTAACTAAAAATTGTGGGCAGATGAACATTCATATACACTGTCAACTAAGACACCTACTAACACCACTACAAATATATCCACTGTAAGAAGGAAGGTTAAGGTAACCGGTTCAACGAAAAGATTAATTTTAATCTGTAGGATTTTTATTCTCAAGAATACATAGAAATCATGTCTGATAAGGTTCCTCTAAAGACTTCCTACAGGATAAATTGTTTCCATGCCAACATGCCATGCAACATGGTAGATATGATTCAAATAATAGTGCAAATGTAGTCTCTTTTAACACTTCCTGCAAAACTGCTTTATTGCAAGGCTATGAATTCCCTGAGCTATTGTCTATCCATGAATAGTTCCTTCATTTAAACTAATATTCCTAGATAATCCTTAACATATCTGGCATAGAAACGCTGATTCTATGGCTTTGAAACAGTTTCTCACTACCAATAGATAGTAGTAGGGAACAGTAGTTTAAAATGTTACGGTTCAAATTTTAAAACAATTGTCAAAATTCTGTATGCATTATAGTCTTCCACAGTTCACTCTCCCAAGATCTACTACAAAGAATCTGATTCTTCCTGTCTTCTAAAGAGTTAAATTCCAAGCTTCATGACTGATTTCAAAGCAACACCAGCAGCTGAGTCATTCCAGGTAGGCCCAGCTGCCCCAGGCCCAGATCTCTGGAGCCTTAGCAGGATGGGGGCAGAGGAGTACCCACCCTGCCAGCACTCCACCCACCCATATCCAGCTCCCAGCACCGCTGGAGAAATAGCCCAGCTTCATGACTGATCCAGGACAAACACTGGCAACTGACTGCCCCAGCTCCAAACATCCAGAAGCAACTCTTCCAAACTTCAAAGCTGATGCCCAACAGAAGTACAGAAGATCAGATGGGAAAATTAGGTAAAAGCCTTAATTTTCTACTAAGCTCAATGAGTTAAAAACAGTAACGCAGAAGGCTCAATCCCAAACTAACAGCTGAGTAAAGCCTCAGGCCATGACTTTTGCAATACCATTATGAGATATATGTTATAATAAGTAATACTGAGCAAATTATTTTGTGCCTGGTAGGACAGCAGGCCTAGAGGTAGGTGGCAGGCTGGGCACATTAATGGAAGGAAGGACACATTGATGGTGGGACTGAATACTGAACACCTAAAATAACTGTACTGGGAATAACTTTGTAAATCACAGTGTTTAAACAAAGTTTCAGACAAAAGATGTTAAATTCCGATTTTCGATTATTTCTACTGAAAACCAGCAAGCAATTTAAAGATGCAAATATTTTTAAAACAGCAACTTTCTAAAAAAAAGTCAACCAAATTATGTTTCATATAACCACAATATATGATTAATGAGTTATTACTTAACAAGACATTGGCTGGAACAATAGCACAGCAGGTAGGGCATTTGCCTTGCATGCCGTTGATCTAGGTTCGATTCCTCCGCCCCTCTCGGAGAGCACAGCAAGCTATCGAGAGTATCTCACCCACATGGCAGGGCCAGGCAAGCTTCCCATAGCATATTCGATATGCTAAAAACAGTAACAACAAATCGCACAATTTGTTGTGAGACATTACTGGTGCCCACTCGAGCAAATTGATGAAAACAGGAGGACAGTGCTACAGTGCTACTTTACAAGACATACAAACTGCACTATTACTTTAACATATTTTCTTTGTGACACACAGAAAGATTAATTGTATTTTTAAACATGCTTTCATGTTCAAATGTCTGGTAAAGAAAGCCTTTGAAGGTATGTAAAAAGTGAAATTATTCTTTTCAGTCTAGAACAATTAAAGGACAATTAGAAAGCGACTAGCAACGAATGTCCTAAAATGCAATAAGCCGCTGGAGCAACAGCACAGCGGGTAGGGCATTTGCCTTGCATGCGGCCAACCCGGGTTCGATTCCCAGCATCCCATATGGTCCTGAATGCAGAGCCAGGAGTAACCCTTATGCATCACCGGGTGTGACCCAAAAAGAAAAAAAAAGATTCTGGGGGCTGGAGCGACAGCACAGTGGGTAGGGAGTTTTCCTTGCACGCAGCCAACATCACCAACACAGGTTCGATTCCCAGCACCCCATATGGTCCCCTGAGCACCGCCAGGAGCAATTCCCGAGAGCATGAGCCAGGAGTAACCCGTGAGCATCGCTGGATGTGACCCAAAAAGCAAATAAATAAATAAATAAATAAATAAAATGCAATAAGCCTACCTGATGTGACTATAGAGTTGTTATGTGGCTATTGGTGTTTTGGTGTTATAATGTAAGTACTGAGATTAATTTGTGCCTCCCTCAAAAAAAAAAATCAAGTGTTTAACTCCCATTACTTTAGAATGGGGCAGGAGTGATAGCACAAGAGGCAGGGCGTCTGCCTTGCATGCAGCCAACATGGCCAACCCGAGTTCAATTCCTCCGACCCGAGTTCGATTCCTCCACCTTTCTCAGAGAGTCCAGCCAAGCTACTGAGAGTATCTCACCCGCAACAGCAAAGCCTGGCAAGCTACCCACGGCGTATTCAATATTCCAAACACAGTAACAAGTCTCGCGATGTTACTGGGCCCGCTAGAGCAAATCGATAAACAATGGGAGGACAGTGACAGTGACTTTAGAATGAGAGTTTATTTGGAATAAGGTCAGGGTAGAAGTTATTACTTAAAATCATGCTGTATGAGGTGGGGAGTATTAATGTAATAGGTGTCCTTACCACAAAAAAACACGACAGATACAGACACAAGGGAAAAAACACATGAAAGCAAGGCACAGATTAGAACCACACATGGAACAGGCAAGAATGATCAGGACTATGTGTCCACACCATGAAGAGGCAAAGGAGGGAGAATAGACATGTTAAAACCTTGGTTTCAAACTTCCAAGCCCTGAACAATGCACTGCTGTTGTTTTAACCCACCAGTCTGCGGCTTATTATAGCATTCTTAGGCAACTAATACAGCCTTAGAAATGAATACAAATTTTTTATACTGGGAGCTGCAAGAATAACGTGACAAACACCCAAAGCTGTGAAAATTCTTTGAAGAGAAAAAGAATAAAAGCTTCTACTCTCAAAGACAATACACATATCATCAAGAATAGAATGTCAGATATATGAATTTTGCTAACAGTGCTTCTGGTGAAGTCTTGGATGATATTAGGAGCAAGGTGTTGAACACAGGAGAAAAGGTGATCTCTAATATATAGAGGCAGGAGTTTGTTACTCTTTGGGGTGGAGAGAAGGGCCTGTAAATGCCAAACTTGTGAATATTTAGCAGAAGAGCTTATAAGGAAATATGAAACGTTGCTTCTTATTTTAAGATAGGAGGGAAAATAAACTGTTGAAGAAGTGCTAAGCAAAATGAACACTTTTTTTTTTCACTTTTATTGAATCACGTGAAATAGTTACAAGCTCTCTTGTTTGGGTTACAATCACACAATGATCAAACACCCATCCCTCCACCAGTGCACATTCCCCAACACCAGTATCCCCGGTTTAGCCCCCCCCCCTTTCCCACCTTCCCTCTGCCTCCATGGCAGACATGATTCCCCACACTTTCTCTCTACTTTTGGGCATTAGAGTTTGCAAAACAGACTCTGAGAGGTTTGGTCCTTTATCTACTTTCTGCACACATCTCCCATCCCGACCGGTTCCTCAGGCCATCATCTTCTTAGTGATCCCTTCTCTATTCCAGCTGCCTTCTCCCCTTTGCTCATGAGGCAGGCTTCCAGCTATGGAGCAATCCTCCTCTCCTGTATATCCTTAGGTGTCAGCCTCATATTATATTGTTTTATACTCCACAAATGAGTGCATTCTTTCTATGTCTGTTCCTCTCTTTCTGACTCATTTCACTTAGCATGATACTCTCCATGTCTATCCATTTATAAGCAAATTTCATGACTTCATCTCTCCTAACAGCTGCATAGTATTCCATCGTGTAGATGTACCAAAGTTTCTTTAACCAGTCATCTGTTCTAGAGCACTTGGGTTATTTCCAGAACCCAATTTTTAAAGACAATCAACATCATATACATTGGAGACTGGACCAACAGTTTCTCTAGATAAATAAGGCACAAATAAAGAAATAAGACACGTTATTTATATATCCAATTAACAATCTCAACAGAACCCAGAAATAGAGAAGTAGTTATTTAGAAAATCTGTGTAAAGGATCCTCTTATCTCACTGCTTGTAGCACTGTAGCACTGTCCTCCCATTGTTCATCGATTTGCTCAAGCGGGCACCAGTAACTTCTCCATTGTGAGACTTGTTGTTACTAGATTGAATACGCCATGGGGAGCTTGCCAGGCTCTC